GATTTGCTCAACTTAAGTTGCTGTTGGTCAGTTTGAACCGTGCAAGAAGTCGTGATCTCCCTCTCTCATGCACTATGACCTCAAAGCGCGCTCCTGCACTGTCTGCTTTTTAGTTGTGAAGCAGTTTATTTTGGAATTTGTCTGTGTACCATGTATCTTTCATTTCAGGCATACATCTTCTTGGGGGTGGATGGTATAAGAATGGGTACTGAGAAAGGCTAAGTGTCAGAAACAGAGCACTCTGGGACTGCCAGTGAGGGACAGGACTGAAATTCATGCCCCAATTCCCCCTGGCTGTGTTTAATCTTGGTGACTTTCATACAGGTAGCATGAAACCCCGTGAGAGCAATGCTGCGGCGGACTCCCGCTGAGAGATGTGTAGTGGCGATATACACCATGGCTCTTAACTCTTCTGCTGCAATTGGAGCATTCCTTGGCTGTTGTGCTCGTGGGAAAATTTTGCCCTAAGTGATTGGACCTTATGAAATAGTAGTTACTGTGTGGAGGTTTTACAAATACGAAGTGGAGCTTTAAATGAATTACACCTGTCATCTCCTTTCCTGTAGAATGAAAGCATTCATCCCATTAGGTCCTATTATAGTGAAATAAACACTTCAGCATACTCTCCATTATTTTTTACCTTTATTTAGTTTAAGTGTATTATCAGTGATACATGCCAGACTGACAGCAAGAAAGCGATGTCCTCTATTGATTCACAGAAGAGACATAAGAAGTGCATAAATACAGACCGCATCGTCCTCACCACACTGCCACGCCAGTGTGCGTCAGATCCATCCCGAGGTGCTACATGTCGATGGTGGAGAGTATTCTGGTGTTTCTTCGGTCTTTTGTCCTCTGAAGCTGCTGCTAGTTCGTATAGCAGCAGGGACTGCGTGGGGACCTATTTACAGCAAACTTAGGACCACTCCATTTGTCACAGAACAATATAACAGCTACGAGCTCCTAATGACTTATCAACCTGGACCGGAAAGGAGCCAGAGACCTGGAGGGTGAAAGGTTGTAAACTCCCTTACAAATCTTCGCTCTCATATGTCTCCCGTCCTCACACTTTGTTATTCATGCAATGAAATTGTAGTTTAAAAAATCAGTTCAGCTCTAGTGAAATTGAACTATCTATTTGTCATTTCCTTTTAAAAAGAGAAGCAAACTGAGCTTTATCCAACATTCAGATTAAAATAATTTATTGAAATGGAAATATTGATTTTTTTTTGGGGTGGGGGGGGGGAAGTCCTAGGGGGACATGGTCTTGTGAAGTGCCAAGCATCTGTATCTTCTACTGAAGCTGGGGAATCCGGGCACTTGGGGCTTCTCCTGGAGCCTGCCCTTCAAAGAAAAATATGCTAACAATATACACTTTGTCTTTGCCATCGATTATGTAATTGAGCACGTTATGTCACTGAATGCATTTACTGCCAGGAAAAAAAAAAAAAAAAAAAAGGACTGTTTTAGAAGGGCTTTTTTTTTTTCCCTAAGCCAGAGTTAGGTTAACCAGGATATTAGAGGACATCGTTGCGAGCCCGTTAAAGAAAAGATCTGTTTGTAGTACTCTTAGTCCTGATGTCACAGGCACAGCAAGGACATCAGAAGGAGGAGTCAGATTACAGTAAGAATGGGCAGTGCAGCATGCAGCCGGAGTAAACGCTAAATCAGACAGGGATTGTATCAGGGATAAGACTGCCAGCAAAGCGCTCATCCTGAGGAGGCACGCTGCTCACTCACACTTCTTGTGCTGGGAAATTTCCACATAATGTAGAATGAAAGAGCTCTGTTTTACATGTCAGCCTTGTGCCGGGAGCTAACGCTGAATACACAGCGGTGGGATCCTCACTGCATGATTAATGAGAAACATAATGTATTTTGGTAAGTGTTAACTGTGATGTAATTCTGCTTCTGCTCACACTATCAATAGGAGTGATTATTATAAATTTTGGATTCAAGAACGTTTCGTGCTGGCACGCACCTAAAACTGACAACTGGGGAATCCTGTCGGCTGTGCAGTTTGAAAGGATTCCATTGTCTGTGAAATATTCTGTTTGAGTGGGCTACCGCGTAGTTTTAGCGGCTTGAAAAATAAGCTAGATGGGATGAACTCATCCTAGGTTTGTTTTATATGAACTTGTGTTTTATCTGCCGAGGGGGGATGAGAAATTGCTGTGAGACATGAGAAGTTTTAGACGAACTTAATGTAATGGACGAGCTGCTACTGCACTGTCTGTGGTTGGGAGGCACGGTAAGCCTGAGTATTTCATTCAGCTTGTAGTTTGAAGAATTCAAAGATACAAAGGTGAAACAATGCTTTATTTGCAGTGGTGTGTTTGCTGAGTACTCTGTATTATGCAGGTCACTGACGTGGGGTTGGCTCCTAGCATAGCACGAAACGCATATTATTTTAAGCCTTAAGAGGTCTCGGAGCTGTTAAATATTTCTGCAGAGTTTAGTTTTCTTTCTTGATGGAAATCTTCCTTAGGCTTACAGCTGAGCTGGCTACATACCCTAAAAACACGCTGGAGCGTAGAGCTGTGTCTAAGCAGTGTAGTGCTGCAGTACCGGGCTGGGATGTACAATTGCAATATAATGCTGCAAGTTAGTGCTGCTAAATAGCAAAAAAAACATAAAATAGTAAATTTGGTAGTGTAATGGAAAAATACTATTCTTGGCTACTTGAAATCTCATCTAGCCTCAGTGTTAATTTATAGCTGTATAATGCTTAGAATGGAGCAGAGAGTTGGAGGATTTCTGGGACATACAGCAGCTTTCTCAGTTTCATTAAATATTGAATCAGAAGTTCACTTCAAGCTTTAAGAGAAGGACTTTAGTAATATTCTTAGCCCTGTCACAGAAGTACTATGCTTTATGACATGCTAAGCATTATTTTTCTATTTTCATAAAATTAAAAATATTGGGGGGTTGTTTTGAACAGTGAACCCATCAATTATGAAAGCAGATTGATTTTGGTGTAAACTGTCCTAACAGAAAAAATATAAATCAACTGAGTTGTCAGAACTGTTCAGAATCCCTTTCAAAGGTAAATTTGCCATGTTTTAGCTTTACTATATTTTCCAAAGACTGAGGAAGAACAGACAAGCATTATGATTTTAGGTTTGAGTAGTTTGGATTAAGTCTCTTCACCATTAAAAATGTGGTGTTAGGTTAATTTCTTGCTCATTTCTTTTGGGTTGTTTTTCTACCTTTAATATTATTGCAAGCACAAGATGGATTTTCTTTTTTTATAGTCAGTTTTGTAACAATTGCCTGTGTGACTAGGGTTAGAAGTTATGCTTTCCTGAAGTAATACGGGTTAGAGTATTAGGTATAGGTTAGCTGTACGGTACTTAATTTTATAATTTTTTTTCTGTTTGCCTATAATTTTCGGAAACATGTAATAGTGATCAAACTTATTTTGGTGTTACTTCTCTGAGGTAATACAAACCGCTGTTTCACACGCTCATTTGTTTTCTGATGCAGCAGAAGTTTTTAATTGGAACAAACTGGATTGTGCTTTCTCTCTGCTTTGTAGGAAATTTCACTTGTGAGAGCAGAGCTGAAAGTTTCTGTTAGGCAGGTTCTCGGTGTGCTTTGTTCAGTCTGAAACTTCCTTTAATATTAAGTTTTAAATGAACATTCATGTTTCTGTCTTTGGTATAACAAAGCATAAGCTAATGGGGATAATGTTTACCTGTGGTTGCTCTGGGTGCTTTCCTCCTCTGTCTGTGAGAAGCCGGAATGTCTGTAATCTCACCTGTCCCTGTTGTAACACGTACTGCACAGAGCCAAAGGAAAGCTTGACTGCGCACCTACTTTGAATTAAAATTGCTATAGCCATCACGTAGACAATATCGGAATTTCATGTTTTCTGAGGCAAAAAATAATTTCCTTTTAATATTAGTGGAGAATACTGTGGTATTTCTTTCTCTGTGCATGCTACCATTGGGCCGCCTAAAGAATGGGAAGGGAAGAAAAAGAAAGCATTTCTGTATGTTTGCATGCATCTTGCTTGTTTTTGTGGGCCTTCTTGTCTAATCACTGCTGATGTAAGGTGGCGTAGTGGTAACACACGTGTACAACATTAGGGTTGAAATAAATACTGAAATAATTACTGTGGAAAGTAAGACCACTACAGTGGTGTTATAGCCCCATAGCAAGTGTTAATGGGTGAAGCGCATTGCTTAACAACCAGAAAGAAATGCTGCTAAATTCAGGAATCGGTCATAGCGTTTCTTCTCTTTAAAGCTGTCGCCTCCAAAAAGATTTTGGGCTGAGATATTCTACTATTCTACTACTTTGTACTGTGTATATCCTACCATTTGAGCTGAGCCTTCAAATAATTAAACTTTTTGTGACCCTTCTAATTGCATAAGCCTTTCTTTTACATTGCACAGGAATTTTGATGGAGTGGTTTCAATAACTGCTAATTTTCACTACCATGCTGTGCTTCAGAGTTTGTTGTTTGGTCACCGTGGATACATTTGTTACTTATTGTATTGGTTTTGCATTCATCATTTCAAGTAGAACAGAAATGTTGAATTGTAATCATCATAAAAATCCTACAAAATGATCTAGTGCCTTTATAGAGTAAGCCAAAAGCCAATGAAAATAATAAAATTCTGCTAAGTGTTTTAATAGGCAGGTATTTTGCACTTAAAAACAGACATAGCTACCCCAAAGCTACTTTTGCGTGCATTTATCATCGAGTTAATAATTTAGCATAAGATAAAAGTCAGTTGCGACCGTTCTCTGCAGCTCCGAGAGGAGAAACAGTGGGTGGCTGTCCGTGCCACAGCGCTGATGTTGCACGCTGATAATAGGGCACCTCCTCCGGTCCTGCTCAATGCCAGGGTTCTACTGTGACCGATGGTCATAGCTGGCTGGTGCCATCTCCACCTTAAAAGGTCCCACCGGCCGCCGCTGCCTCAGCTTGGCCACCTCACCAGCATCATGCCTTCCTCGGCTCGCGGGAGCCAGCTTGTCCGGCCGGTGCGATGGCCTCCGCAGCAGCCCCTTGGCTGGGTGGCCAGACTGTCCAGGTCAGGTGGAAAGCCCTCTTCGCTGTTCGGGAGGTGAAGGGGGAGAGCTTTTGGTGTGTTCCATGCACCGATGCCGTAAGCGACGATCATCGAACCGGAGGAAACGCTGCGGTGATATTGCAGTTATGGGACAGTGAGCACTGGTCCTGAGGGCTCGGTAAACCCCCACTGGAATCGAGAGGGAAGCCAATCCTCTAACCCACTGCTGAAATAATCACACCCCTGCGTACCCCCATACCTTGTTCCTACGGAAGGAACACAACCAAAAAAAGAATTAAAATTTACAAAGAAAAGGAAAAACAGAAGGGTTTTTTTTTCCCTTCCCCCCCACCCCCTGTGAACCTATTACTGTTTTGAGTAACTTCTGTTCCCAGTGTTTCCATTCACCCAATACAGGAAATCTGACATATCGGGGTGGAGATGAAGATTCTATGGGATAAAAGAATAGACCTCTTAAAGGAAAAAAACAAACATTTTTTGCCTGAAAATGCCATCACGTTTCTGTTTGCACGTTGACTGTTTTCATTCTCGGTGGGGTTTTTTTAGTCAATGTTGTAGAGTGTAGTAATTCATCTGCATACATACTACTATTCTGAATATCACTTTTTATTTCTGGAACACTTTCTTGTAGGAGAGATTCATGCTGGATGAGTCATGGAAGAAAAAATACCCCCCACACCCCAAATCTCACCACCTCTTTAAAGAAAACATACACTGTGCAAATCAACCAACCAACCAAAAAAAACTTGTTTCAGCAGTTTCAGTGAAAATGTTTAGTTGTCACCAGTTTGTTTTTAGGAGGTTATATTTCCTTCTAGGTTAGACACTGCGGAGGCCTTTCATAGCATTTCTGTTTGTCTTCATTTAAGGCAGGATGAATCAGTGATGATAGGGCTATGCTTTTAAAATGTTTGGAGAAACACAGATACTGGATTATTAACTGTGTTTTATCACCAGCCATCTGCAATAAGAAAGCGTAGTTAATATATAATGGATGCTGTATGTGACAGAAGAATTCAGCAGAGCGAGCCAATGTATAGGATCTTGGAATCTGCGGGAGCCTGATGTTTATACTTGGAACATTACAGCCTCCTGGGCAGTGAAGTTCCTATCTTGAAGCACTGAATAATCATTAATGCATGTATACATAATAATAAAAATAACTCCTGTTTGAACTTACAGAAACTCCTCTGTGCCAGACTGTACCCTTTTAGATTCTGTTACAGAAACTGTTCGTTTAAAATACCTCTAAATATATCCGGTATGTTGCCTTAAATAAAGGGTGATTTCACCATTTCACACACACACACGCACACAAAAAAGTCATTCCTGTCACCCTTCTTGTGGGTGGCAGAATTGCTGCAAAATCAGAATTAATGGTTTCTTGCTGCATTAGAGATTAGATCACAGTTGCTTCAGCTGAAGGTCCTTTAACAGAAAGTGTGTGTGTGCATGAGCGCACGTGAGTGTGTGTCTGTACATGCTTTAACTGGGGTGACTGTGGAATCTAATCCTGCATCCCTTCTTAACAAATGTCTTGCTTCTGTTAAGAAATATAATGTTAAGTAGAAGCTGGATTTTTAAAATTTTTATTATGATGTCATGCCTCTGTTCTTTTTCATCTTTTTTCCTAAAAGACAATTCATATGAATTATTTTTATAAAATATTTTAAAATAATGAGAGCCTTTGAGTGCAAAATTATCTCAGTCATATGGCTCTTACCTCTCTGTGCCTGTGTGCAAATATCCTTCCATATTATTTTGATTTTGTTTTATAACTCGGTGGCAGTTCTGAAAATTCTTGCAATTACAAAAATGTTAATTGTATTACAGGAATCCTTTCAAAGCTTTTGCCTCTCATTGTACTAAAGAAGATGGTGGTACTTGAAAAAGAAGAAATATATTTGGACTTGGTAGAGGAACTATTTCAATTTGATATTCGATCGTGAAAAGTTCTTGAAATATAGTAAAGGTCATAAGGGCTACAATTTTAAAAAGGGGTTATTACATGTAATATACTGCAAAGATTAGTTTTGCAGCTGAAATCGCATAGATGATTGGTAACATTCAGAGAAAATGCAGCCAAAGAGGTTGGCTGGAAATACCCAAGCCTGAAGTGTCTGAGATTGTACTTGAATTAAATTGCTGGGGTTGAAAGTGGGAAGAAGCTTTGCTCTGCTGTAGGGCTAAGTCATTACATGGCAAACCCACAGTCTGCAGGTCAGCCTGTATTCTCAGTGATTTTAGCAACACGTTTCTGCAAAGTCTACTTAGGGATGAAAAATTTAGTACCTGAAGTTAACATTATTGGTATGCTTGTGTGTTTAGACCTCCTTGCCCATTTTGTTGACCGCTTCTGTCAGTTCATCCATCTGATGCTCATGAACATGTTCGTGTCAAACAATTTTTTTTTTTTTTGGCTTTGTACATAAGTACCATAAAGAGTTACTCCAATCATAAGCATGGTTTGACAGCTTAAAGAAGTTGGAAAGGGTCTGAATCAAATGTAAAATAAGAAAATGCAGCTGTAATTTGAAATTGGAAATGTAAGGGAGGCTTTTATGAAAGTTCAATTACTATACACCCTTGCCTCTTGTTAACATCTATGATAATACAGTTCTGTCTCGACGCTTAAAATTATATATATTTGAAACTTCTTTAGGTTTGAAAAAAAGGTAAGACATCTTCAGTCCTTATCTAGAGCATTTAAACAAAAGCACTTGTTCTCTCTTTTTTTTTAAATTTTTTTTCCCCTTATTCTGCTTTGCCAAAGTTCACAACTATTTTAAAAAGTTGGGATTAAATCAATCTTTCTTCTTTTAATACCTCAGCTAGCTGGCTGAACCAGTTGTTTGGAAATCATGGGAAATTCTTTCATCACTGTGGGATCAGATCCTGACTCTATTACCCAGCCAACTAATTTACTCTGTTTTATAGTCCCTGCAGATTTCAGAATTTAAAACCATAATGTACCACTTGCTTTTCAAGTAAAGCTTGAAAAGCTCCTGGGGTTTGGTAATACATAGTATCTTCATCTCCAAAGCAGTTACAGGAGATACAAAAATGAGATTGACTGGGAGTGTCTGCTAACTCTGGGTATGGCCGTTTGAAATTTTAGCATGTACTTAGGAACTCAAAGGGCTTTGGCTCGTATTGGTAATTTTTATACTGTATGTTGTTTATGCCTTCTGTTTATTACAATGCAAACTGTCAGTCTCTTCTTCAGTTGTTCCCTTCAGAAAAAGAGATAGAGTCTAAAAAGGGGGTTGATGTTAGAAAACTGTCTCTGAATATTAAAACTGCTTTTTTAAGAACAAAGGAAAAAAGCTAGGCTTAGTTTACTCTTTAATTATTACTTCACAGTGGTTCTGCTATTTATTTACTTTTATGCTGTAATTGAAAAAGGAGATAGACAGTACAGTTCATTCAAATGGAAGCCATGAAAATTTTCTCAGCTTCTTTTGTTCTTGTTGACCTTGTTTATTCAGTTTGTTTACTATGGAGTGTAGTAGGTTATGAAGATGGAGGGAGATAATGGCTGTGTTTTCCAGTACTGTTACTCATCGTTGCACTAGGGATCAATATTGAATGAAGAAAAAAAAAAAGTCAGAAAACACAGAACCTTGGCAAGATCTGCAATTGTGAATGCACAAGGAAGGAGGAGGAGGTGGTGAGGAAGCCAGTCTTTGCACCGCAAGCAATATCAGCGCTCTTCATGCTAAGCCAAGTCATTTTTCAGTAGCGACCTGAGGGTCTACTGTCTCTGTAGTGCAGTGTTTAGCAAATTAGTTTTTGTTTGCTGGTATTTACCTATGAAAGCCAATCCACTCACCTCCTGTCAAAACCAGCCGCGTATCAGGAGCATTTAGTTTGCCAGATATGTGACTATTACATAGCAAACACACCGCTTCTTTGTTTTTCTATTATTGCTGGTAAGTTGTGCTGCTGCGAGCAGCAAATTTTTCAACAGTGGAAGTTGCACGAGCTTGTTTGCTTCTAGGTAGCACAGGATAAAATAATACCTTTGCTTCAACCCTTCATGCAGCAGACAGGTGTACATGAAATTTTACCTAACATCCTATTTAACTTTGCAGTTTCTGTGTTTATAAAGAAAAAATTCTAACAAGTTGAAAAGGCTATAAAATAGTGCGTGTGCAGATGTGGAGGTGTATTTAAATCCTTTCCCTTTTTGTCTCCCTCTCTGACTGAGGGCATGGCAGCCACATGAATGTGGGTGCTGTAAAGCCATTGTAGCACATTATTTCTAGTATCCTTACATGCTTTTAGCGCTCAAGACATGATGTGATCATTTACAAACATTTGTCTCGCCAATCCTGACCACAGTCTGTCTACCTTGTAAAACTGGTTATTTAGTCCTCCTCTCCACATGCAGTGCTAGGGCAGTTGCACTAACCTCCTAATAACACATTTACTTTCTGCTGGATTAAATCTTAGTAGCACTGAGTACTTGGAAATTGCATTGGTCCACACTGTACGATTTTTCTCTTTCATTCTTTACTAAGAAAGGTTCTGAATTAACTCTTTTTTCTTTTCAACTGGGTCAAAGTAAAAATTTTCAATACATTTATAGATTCCCAGTGGTTTTCCCTTTTTTCTTTTTTTAATCCTTTGCAGTATTTTTTTATAGAACAGAAGAGATATCTTCTTACATAGGTACAGCTGACAGATCTACTCAATGCTAATTAGCACCCCACCATTTGGATTCCTATGGGTTCAGTAGCAACTGGACATCTGACATCTCTTTGGATATGCCATATAGAAAGTACAGTGCCTCGCAGAAATCCCTGTCTGTGGTCAGATCAATGTATATGAGGTGAGTGTCCTTCATCTTAGCATTTAGCTCTACACGCTCTAACAGTCCATACAGTAGATGACCTTCCCAATACACACAAGTTTTCAAGGTAAAAGGAATCAGTGGCCCTAAAGAGGGCTATCACTACACACAGAAATAGCCCACACAGTTTTGCTTCTTCACGTGATTGAACTTACTGAATGTAATAAACTCTAAAAGGCTGAAAACATATTAAAAGCAGAAATCAAAGCAACATTTGAAATCTCTCTAACAATACAGATACAATCAAAATGTGATTGTGGAAAGCCTTAGAGTGTGTGAAATGTATATAAACTCTGCTGACTGAGAAGGGCAGGCAGGCAGCAGGTAAAGGCTGGTGCTGCAGCAAAATGGTGCTGGCAGCACCACCCTGCATAAGCACGCCAAGGTGACCAAATAAAACCGCTCTGGTTTACCCTTAGTGACTAACTTGAAGCAAAGTTGTCATCATAAGCTATCATTAGCATGCAGGCAAGAAAATTTATTTAACTAGCCTGAAATTAACCTTGTGAAAGCAATGAACAATGATGCTAGACGTCACAATGGACACCCAGACAACTCTATAGATTTTAGGAGGATAATACAGATGCATAGAACATTAATTTATTTTTATTGCTTATTCTCCTAGGCCGTGATTTTTTTTTTCCCAAGTTAAATATATCCAAAAATATCAATGTAGTGAGGAAAAGCAGCACAGAACTATCTCAGGTAGGCAGTATTTGATGATACTTAGCATTGAAAGAACATTAACAATTAATACTCCTAAAATATTTCTCAGTTTAGTCTAACAGTGTTCATGTGATTTGTATAAGCTTTATGTACATTTCTAGTAGGAAGATTTCATCACAAGATTATTCACGAAACTAGCAGTTGCATGATACTTTATTGTAATTTATTAAGAGAGTTTTCATGTTAAAAGCCATGCCAGCACATTTTCAGCAATACAAAGCTCACTTGAGATTCGTCTGGAAACAGAAATATTGCCATCTGACCTCAGTATATAGTCAAATGAATTATGAATGTTTTATATCAAATATCTGTTTGAGAAACCCCAGCTGAGCTAATAGCTTCCAAATCACAAAGATAAGAAGAAGTAATGTTCATTCTAAATTATTAGCCCTGTTTAGGAAGCTTACAGGAATAAATGGCTATTGTTGTTAGAGAATGTTTAAAATAATAAGTTAATTTTTTAAGAAGTCTTTCCAAGGTGCCTGTGATAGGTGGATCTCCAGTTTTGCACATTCTTCTATCTATGTAGCCAACTTCAGTTATAGTAAATACTGTAGGGAGCTGATTTTGATAGCATATTGATTGAGGTAATATTGGCAGTTTATCTAAAGAAGTTGGGCATGTTTTGAAATCTGTTGATATAACATGTATGGCAACTGCTAGCAGGTACAAAAAAAACCTCTTGCAAGTTCAAGACTCTCAGCAAAAATTGAGTTTTCCGTATTGATACTGTTTTTACTGAGTTCTTCATAGTGAAAGAGGACGTTTTCAGAAAGTAATTATTATTTCTAATGAACTGTGGATAGCGTTGGATTGTGTTAATAGATTTGCTTGAACTCAATTTCATTTACTGGACCTAACATGCTGAGAAACTTCTATGGCCCCCAGTAAAGTAAGTTTCAACTGTGCTGAAAATTTTAAATCAGACCTAGTGTATTTAAGGCAACTGTCAAATAATTTCTAACAGTTGTGTTTAATATCACCAATAATTTCAAATGTGAATTAAATGCTCTTTAAAATCTTAAACTGATCAGCAGCAGTGTAGTCAAACTTTGGCAGCCACTTGGGCAGCAGGTCTGGGGGTGGAGGACGCTGGCATGCCCATGCAGCATGGCCACTGTGCATTTTTTCTCACCCGTCACCAGCCTGGAAATACAGGAGGCAGAATTTATCCATTTGGGTTGCAGTTCAAACAGTTGTTCCATGTCTCTTTGCCAGAAGAGGCACTGAATGTGATGGAAACGTGAGCTCGGGCAGTTGGAGAACTTGAATTGCATTGGCCTTGCGTGGGGAGGTCCACTTTTGAGAAGATGCACCTGCAGGAGGGAACAC